GAAAAAAAAAAAAAAAAGCAGCCACAGATTGCAGACTCTTTAAGACATGAAATGCCGTTTCCATATGCCCAATTTGTCAAAATTCAGATGCTATGAATGACACTAATGCCGGCTCATGTTCTATTATGAAACAAATCAAGTGATATCACCTTTTTATCTCTGGGAGCATAGATGAGGAAGAGAGTGACATAGATGAGGTGAAAGATGGCACCAGTTACATTCACTGTTATGAGAAGTAAACCATCTGGAGTGATGGTTCCATAGAAAGTCCACAAGCTGGCGCTCAAGAGGTTTGTTATGTAGAGAACTCCGTTGTAATTCTCAGTTGATTTCTTCTTCACCACCCGCCAAAAGGTTTTTCTGGAATAGGATATGTACACCAAGTTAGGCACCAGCATTTGCATTCGAAGAGTGCAGAGACAGAAAGCCTGGTAATAAAGAGAACGTGCATCTATGGAAATCTGTAAAAACTAGTCTACCAAGGTTCTGATTTCAAATTTACAAGCTTATTACATCCCCATTAGCTTACTCAACATATTCCAATCTTTCATGGACAAGAAATTTATTGTTTCAGATGATTTTACTTACATGGGAGAAGCAAAAACCAGAATCGAAATTACATTACCTGCAAAGAAGGGTTGAAAAAGAAAACACAAGGACAGTAAAATATATCCAGCAATTCGGATAAAAGACCAACAGAAAGGAATTGCCAGAAGGACTAACCGATAATGCCAATGATGAAGCTCAAGCTAGCCATTGAAAGCAGATGAGGGTAGTTGAAGGAAACGAAGGAAAGTGAGGAAGGAGCTAGTTTTTCATGCAATTAAATGGGAAGAGTTCCAGAGTCAGGATGTGTTGAGTTTTCAAGCTAGAAGTAGGTGGGGATAAAGCTATTGCAACATATGATTCCGACATCAAATTCATGTTTATTTGCCACGTTTTTGGTCTGCAAATGCTTTCATTATTTGTACGGAGGAAAATTATTGACAAAATTTTCTAATGTTCATATGCTAAAGGCTCAAAACCATGTCAGGAAACATCATTGAAGATTGAAGATTCTAGATTTCAGCTTATTGATGAAGAATAGAGGTATATAGTCTACTTTTTGACAAAAAAAAGATGGATCTTATATGTTCCTTTCAAATAATGAATTGCTTTATTTTTAGGTTAATTTCAAAACAGTGTAGCTGAATCCACCTATAATGAATGTGGGCAGGTAGGCTAAATAGTTCTTAATTTAATATAAATCTTCATGTGGAAAAGAAGAACTGATCCATGCAATTAGTGTCACAACCATGAATTAATTTTTATTATTAAAATCTAACCAAATAATTAAATAAAAAAGATGTTAAATTAAAAAAAATGACTAAATACAAATATTGTTTACCTCCTTTAAAATATGTATAGAGTTCTTGAATAAAAGATGGCTTGGTTTCAAATTAAAGACAACAAAGACTTTTGTTTATTGGTTTTAAATTAAATGTCCTTCTTAAAAATTTAATATGATATCAGAATAGACGTAATCTCCATTTATTGATGGTGTTTTGTGATCTCATGTCTTGTCTTATTTGTGGTAGTGCCAAGTGATGAATCTCTCTAGCTACGATCAATTAATTTTAAATTAAATATCCGTCTCAAAAATTCAATTGTTTCTACAAAAAATTAAAATTTACGTATGTTGTTTTCTGAAATACAAAAGTAAAGGTTGGCCTGTTAATGCCAAAAAGAATCACAACCCGTTAATTTGCAATCGGATTTTCGGCCTTAGCTTCGTTTGTCTATGGAGTTTTAGCATTAAGCATGATCTACATTACCCTGAACCATCATCTATTTCTTTGTACAACAAAAGAGAGCCTTAAAAAACTGGCAGAGCCTTGAATTTTCGAGCTCCCCAATGCTTAATTTGACTTCCTTCAAGATCAGGGGTGACCGGTGTCTGTGTTTCCATCCTCTACATCACTGTGAAGAGGATAACTGGACTGCGATTCATATGGAGTCAAAGAAATTGTCTTCATGATCTTCTGCAAGCTATATTGTCGACTAACATGTGGCTTTGGGAGGCTTCTGCCCTTGTTTAGACTTCTATTCTTCAGATCGTCTTCAAGTGAATGCATCTCTATGCCTCGTTTCACCAGGTGAGCTGAGCCTTCTTCTTCCATGGCCTCGGGTGATTTTGCTGAAGCAGACTTGTTCTTGTATATAACATAGAGGATCAACTGAGCTGACCCCAACACAAAACCTACTGCATTTGGCACCTGAAATGTGTGAATCTTTGTAGAATCATTCATAAATGTATTTCATGTATTAGGAAATTCAAAAGGGGAAAGAAAAATGTGAAATTACTCCAATGTAGATATCCTTCACAAGCATTGCATAAGCAGACCAAACACCAGCATTGAGGAACAAGAAAAATGAGAGTAAAAATGGCATGTACTCCACACTCTTGGTCCTTATCACTGTCCTCTGTTGAACATTAAAAAATCATGCATCATTCCTTGGAATGTAGATGAGTAGGGGGAGACTTTGAATCCCCTTTAGCAAACTGTATTAAATTTAAAAGTGTGGCATCTGATATAGACTGAAATCCTTAACATTGAACTGAAGAAAGGCAAAGTCCTGATAGAGCAATGTTATTGTTTGAAAGCAGATTGCGTAATTATAACAAGCAAAATGCACAGAAACCATGCATCTTTTAGGCCAAGTATACATGCAGCAGTGAAAAAACTCACCATGGCTGATAGGGGTGATGCATACATGCCTATGGTTAAACCAGCACACAGAATCCCAACAAAGGTGAGCCGCATTCTCCCATGAATTGCCAGAAGAGTCACAGCAATTACAGCTCCAAGAAAACCAACATCCAACACAGCCACCAACTTTGCAGTCTTGATCTGATTAAAAAAAATAGCAGCCAAGATTGCAGACTCTTTAAGACTTGAAATGCCGTTTCCATATGCCCAATTTATCAAAATTCAGATGCTATGAACGAAACTAATGCCTGCTGATGTTCTATTACGAAACAAATTAAGTGATATCACCTTTTTATCTTTGGGAGCATAGATGAGGAAGAGAGTGACATAGATGAGCTGAAAGATGGCACCAGCTCCATTCACCGTCATGACAAGTAAACCATCTGGATTGATGATGCCATAGAAAGTCCACAAGCTGGTGCTTAAAAGGGTTGTTATGTATGGAACTCCTTTGTAATTCTCAGTTGATTTCTTCTTCACCACCCACCAAAAGGTTTTTCTGGAATAGGATATGTACACCAAGTTAGGCACCAGCATTTTCATTCAAAGAGTGCAGAAACAGAAAGCCTGGTAACCATTAGCTTACTCAACATATTCCAAACTTTCATGGACAAGAAATTAAATTATTGTTTCAAATGATTTTACTTACATGGGAGAAGCAAAAACCAGAATCGAAATTAGATTACCTGCAAAGGTGGTGGAAAAAAGAAAAGAAAAACATAAGTACAGTGAAATCACCTGCAATTCAGGATAAAAGACCAACAGAAAAGAATTGCCAGAAGGACTAACCGATAAT